CGCGCCGTTCGTCGCGGCCCCTCTTCATGCGTGCAGCAGGCGAGGCGCACAGGACCGTCGTCATGAGCGTGTCGGTGGGTGTGCAAGTGGAGCAGTTGGGCGGGAAACACACGGCACCCCTCACAGGAAGAGCGCAGAAGAAAAAATTAAAAGAGGGAAGAGTAGAAAAGAAAAAACGTCCATGGTGGTTGCCCTAAAGCAGCGAGGGAAAAATGAAAAACATTAAAAGAAAACAAAAACAAATTATTCTCTGCGTAGTAAATTTATTCCTAGCGGTGTGTGTGTCGGCGCAGAGGAGAGCGCAAGTGTTCCACACTGAGGCCGCACACTCCTCACGCAGCCGCAACCCCCCACAGCCCGAGCAGAAGAAGCAGCGGCAGCAGTCCGCTCCCAGCAGAGGTAAAGCTCACCTCTGGCACAACGAATTGTACATCTTCAGTCCGAGAGGTATTCCTCTTTGCCGCTCCACTCTCACTCACCTCTTCAACTGCATGGGGGTCCAATGTCATTGGCACCGCTGGAGCTGCTGAAGTTTTCTCTGGGCCAGACACAGCAGATGCGATGGTTTGAGAAACACCTCCCGCTTGTGGTTCCAGAGCTCTCTTTGGAACGGGTTTCCTTTCCTTGATTGCACGCATCTCAGTGGGATTCAGTGGGCGGTTGTACAGAAAGACGTTCTTCACCGTCACGGGAGAGTTTTGCATACCGCACGCGCCAAAGCAAAAGCCTGCGAGCTCAAGTGGTCTCTCAGCTGTTAACAGCGTTTCCTCTTCCCCCAGCAACTGACCATCAATGTGCACAGAGCTCTTGTTGCCTTGCAGCATGAGTGCCACTTGGTATTCTTTCCCCGGCTCCCAAGTGCCACTTTTTGTTGTCTTCTTGTATTTGAACATCGTCACCCACTCTTTATCCGCGGTATACAAGATTCCCATGGTATGCGGGGAATTATTGTCCCCCCACATTGCACCCAGTAGAGGAGCGTCCTCACTCGGAGCCTTTTCGATGGTCACCGACGCCACAAGTGTGAAGTTGTGGCTCAAGGATACATGACGCACATTATCATCCCGAGTGTTCACAGGCCACATTACCCCGGAGTCAGGCTCCGTCAATTGAAATCCATCCTCGACCTTCGTGGCTTTCGTCACCGTCGCATTGAGGCAAATGTACTCGTCGTTCCACGTGCCGTTGTTGGCCGATGCGTTGGACAAAACTGCCACCAGACCCGCCGTGGGTATAGACAAGCTGGAGAAGAAGGCGTCCTTTTGCGCCCAGGTCTTCAGGACAGAATTGATTGTACTCACTTCCTCCGTCAGGCGAGAAAGTGAAATGGCACTGCCTTTATCGTTTTCCCTCCGTTGTAAAAGATGCAACTTGCCATCCGAGTACAGCAGGGTGCTGGCGACCTCCTTCTCCCCAGCATTGTCCATGCCAACCGGTCCAACAGAAAACGAGCGGTTGTTGTCCGTCACCCAAAGGTGGAGCGCTCTTTCCCTTTGCTTCCCCGAGGCGTACCCTCTCTGAGTGTACAGCATGACCCTCCTTTTCCCAATGGCCGCGGTGATGAGGGCATCCACGTGCAAGCTCAGATCCCAAAAGAATGATTGTGATTTGACCCACACGCCTGGGAGTGTCCCGACTGCCTCCGTCCACGCTGTCCCCATGTCACGCGACTAGTACACCTTCTGGCTGCTCTCGCAGTCAACAATCATGAGAAGTGATCCCTCCCACTCGGTGATGCGGGGGTTGTAGCATTTCGCAGGGGAAACGCCCTTCG